GTCAGCCTTCTTTATGGTCCAGCTCTCATTTCCATACATCGCTACAGGAAAAACCATAGCGTTGACTATACGGACCTTTATCAGCAACGTGATGTCCCTGCTTTTTAAGATGCTGTCTAGATTTGTCATCACTTTCTGCTTTGTAGTTCATCTTTATTATCCCTTGAAACAGTATGTGACATTCCGGGCCAGGGCCAATAGGCACTCAGCTTCAATCTCCTGGGTGCGCCAAATGGCAAGGGAAGCTGTATTGGTCAGTGTCATTCCTCAAGACCTCCAACCAGATGTTCCAGAGATAGGAAAATGAAGTTTCTTTGCCACTAATGCTATGGCTAGCACTGGGGGGGGGGGAGGAAATGAATGTTTCAACATGTCCCATTTCTTACCATAGTCAGGTGGCTTAGATAGGGAAGACAGTACCCAGAGCTCTGATATTGTCATGCAGGTGCATTAGAAAGCCTTGGTGGCAAGCTTTATATAAATAAAATAAGTAAAAGGAGTCTGGAGGAGAAGAGTCTCAACTGACTTCCACAGAGAATCACAGAATGATTGAGTTGGGAGGGGCCTGTGAGGCCATCAAATCCAACCCCCTGCTCAAGGCAGGAATCCAGATCAAAACAGATCTGACAGATGGTTGTGCAATGTTCTCTTGAATACCTCCAGCATTGGAGCACTCACCACTTCCTGAGGTAACTGGTCCCATTGTCGTACTGCTCTAACCATTGAGAAGTTTTTCCTGATATTCAGCCTAATTCCGGCTTTGTGTAGCTTGAACCCATTATTGCATAATCTACATGTTGAATGTATGGCCTTTCCAGTGGTTCCACATATATTTTTTTCCTTTTGGTAAGGAAGAAGGGAACAAAGCCTCTTCCGATCTGGTCTGATGCACAAACCACCTCCATAAAGCCGGTCTGAGTCACCCGGGGAAAGGCCGCTCCTCCACACCCTTGCCAGGTCCCTCTTGTGTGAACACTCTTTGTATTGGCACTCTTGCTCATAGCTCCAGCCCGAGGGGGATTCCCTTGCATCTGGGGGAGCCTGGAGTGCCATTTAAAATCTTCCTGAAGGCTTCTCCCGATGGAACATCGCTCCAGAGCATGGCTGGAAGCCTGACCATTGTGCTCCAGGAAACGAGGGGGAGAAACGTGCAAGGGGTGAACTACGAGGTCATTTTCTGATGTCAGAGAGAATTCCATAGGGCTAGCGGAAAACCTTCCTTCTTGCACCATGGCAGTGGTTCCCAGCTGTGGGTCCTTAAATGTCCCTGGAATACAAGAACCTCCATTTCCCTCGAAAGGACCCAGTCTTCTGATAACCAGAGGACTTCCTCTCTTTTTTGGCCAAATCATGGTTTGTTCACAAAATGTTGTGCCATCTGGAGCAACTTCTCGGTGAAAAAAGACGTGTGTTTGTAGCTTTTTGACTGAGTGAAAAGACTAATGGAGCTGGGCCGGAAATCTGAGAGACGTTGATTAAATTATGCCTGATAGAAGGAAGAAAGAGAAAGCTGTGCCACCTCCCCCCCCCGCCCCTTCTATGCAACAGGAACCACACCCGTGATATACGTAGATCCTGCTAGTCTTTTGCGGCTGATCACTTTCATCTGGCAAGTTTCAGCAGCGATGAACTTTCCATGACGTCACAGTGATTCAGCCAATGGGTGCAGGGGCTTCACTCTCACAGGAGAGATGCCATTGCTGGAATGGTGCCTTCTGAGCGATGGTGCCATTAAATATGGGAAGGTCTATGGCAGCAATTTTTTTCCCCTGCAGATGAGCAGCTGTTGAGCCTGGAACATTCTGCCCGGCCTCCCCGTTAATGAGATGTTGAGATGCGGCAATTTTGCACTGCATTAAAAGTC